TGTAGACTAGAAGGAACAAAAAGTATCAACAATTATGCCATGTTCTACTGATTCTATTTCTAACTCAATAGATCAAATGTATAATTATCAGTTAGACAAGTAAAAATACAAATTAGTAGATTGCTTTTATTCTTTAGGAATAAATTAATGAGAAGAAATCAGCTATTAATTACTGATTTGTTTCGATCTGTCTTACAATTCTCAAGAATCTACTCAATGTACATCGAAGTTCTATCTCTTCCTGACGAAAGTCGTAAAGAATATGGGATGAAATAATATAAGCAGAAAGAAGTGTTTGCAAGCGGCTGAAGTACTTCCTAATGTGATTCAATTTATCATTTGAAGCATATTGTTAGCTCTTTTCCAGGAAAAAGAATGGAACTTCTACCGTTAACTCTGCATGTATAATTAAATCGTACACAATCATATCAAAAATGAATTCAATATAAAGGCTACAATACAATCAAAAGAGTATATCGATTTGATTTAGATTCCATTTGTGTTTTAAATAAATTATATTGTTTTCAAGAGAAATATTTATAGCAGATGCCGAATTCTAATCAATGATATGAAACATAATACTAGTGTAGTTTGAACACTGTCAATGTTTATGAAAGATCTGTTTCAGAATATTTCGTAATGAAAGAGAAGTGCCATTCAATATATGTGATGTATAATATCGATCTCTTCGACTATTTATTAAAGAAAGTTTGTGTCTTTCACTACTCAATAGTGACTTCGTTTCTTATAATACAACAAAGTATATTTTTATTAATAATTTACCAATTCTTTTTGATTGTTGTCGTTCATTCATAAAATTGATTTATCATGAAATTTCCACTGCAACAAGTCGAATAATTATCATTATATGATTCCTGTTTAAAATAAAAAAAAAAGAATGCGCAAAAGTTCTTTTTTTCGTATTGTATTGTTTTTTTGTTTAAGAAAGACGTACACACTCGTATGTACATGCCTTTTTCCCTCCCTCATCACCGATCACAGCAATTTGCGCTTGTATTTCGTGTTTTTCCTGTTCTTTGACTATAATTAGTTCCAGTGAGAGCGAGATTGAGAATGTATATCACAGAAAGCAAAAAGAAATTGCAGAGGTAATTCTGCAGTTTGACGTTCGTTGATTCTCTCTGTGTTGTGCCTTCACATTCACTTGTACTATTCATCGTCTTTCTTCTCATATTTTCATATCACAAATATTCTAAGATTGTATCGACCTTTTTCGAGTTTCTTTTTCTCCTCTTTCTCTTTCTATATATATTGTCAATTTACCTGTAAATATTACATTATTCGAAGAGACGAATAATTACAACAACACATACAGCATAACTGTGATACTAGGTAAAAGCATTCGTTCAGTTTCAAATTGGTTTTTCAGATATTCACTTTTTTCATTTAATAACAACTGTGTCCATCAAAATTATGGGTAGCTCACTATCCACGAAGAGAGCATCTGACGAACTTCTTGATAAAGGTTTGATACTCCATTTATTTATTGTAGTTAATGTAGCAAAACTATTTTATTATTAGAAATAGCTATACTTAAAGCCAGTAGTAATTTAACTGAAGAAGGTAAGTAGAATTGAGATATGATTATAATCTCAAACTATTCTTTATCCTTTTTTAGAAATACGGGATATATATGATGTAAGCAGAAAATATCTTCCAAAGACATGGTTTTAGTAAAATGTTATTTTTTTTTCTCTGTAGAACTTCAAACGCCAATGTCCATCAGGCAAGATGGACAAAAACCAATTCCTTAAGTGTTCCAAAGAATTCATGGAATCAGAAGAGGAAAAGACCGACGTACCACAGTATGTCAATACGTTTCGTTAAATTTCATCGTAATTGTTTACAATGTTCTAGTGTGATGTTTTCTGTGTTTGATAAGAATCGTGATGGTACAATCGATTTTAGTGAATTTGTGTTAATTATTGCCATGGGAAATAAAGAAGATTTGGATAGTAGACTCGAGCTTGTGTTCGAAATGTAAGCTTCCTTTCAAATATATAGACATAATAAATAGCCTATAGAAAAGCGACACTCAGATGAAAAAAAGCTATTAGAGCACGAAAATGGAAGAGAAATTGCTATTAGCAATAGATGGTTTGTTCTCTTCGTTTGCCAAACCCTAACTACATGATTAATCAGGTTTTTTAATTATACTTTTCATTTTTAGACTAGATACGTCAGGCGATGGACGAATTAGTTACGACGAGATAATGGGCTTCTTGGAGACAACGGTAAGGTTCTTCTTTTTCTTTTCTTAGTGTAATGCTAGATGGAATATTTGTTTTTTTCTTTTTTGAGAAAAAATACCAAGCTACTGGCTTAGCAACTAATTTTGTCCCAGAGACAGTTGCTACAGGGATCTTCGCTATGTTTGATCTCAATAAAGAACAGAAAATAAACAAGCAACAGTTTGTGAAAGGGTATTTATAAATATTCATCTTTTGTTTTTACCAACTATTTTCTTTCAGGTGCAAAACAAATAAGGATCTTAGCGACTTCTTTGAAAAGTGGTAACCGTAGTGTGCGATACAACAATATAACATTTCTACTGTAATCATGCAAATTATATACACAAATAGATTGACAGTCTTTTGCTTTTCTTTTTTTAAATAAATCATTCGTAATATTCCATTGAAAAACCAACCTTGGTTTGTTATTTTGGATAATTTAATCGAATACCAATTGTCAAGAGACCAACATGATCATGTTAAATTACATATAAATAGTTTGAAAAATGTACAAATTATTGAGAAAAGTAATAAATACGTCCAAGGATAAAACTACTTCATTTTTCATTCTTAGTTTAACAACATATTAAAGTATTTTCAGAACCCTTTGTCGATCAAATAGTGGAACACAGGGCTAAGTCATTATCGTTACTAGATAATGGAATGAATAACGGAAAACTTTCATAATTGATTTTTTTGCCAAGGAAGACCTATTTGAGAAAAAAAAGGACAACGTTTCTCCATAAAGTTTGCTTCATGATTTAAACACGACTAAACAACGGCATGTAACGTGGATGAATGTATCAACTCATGCTTGTATTTCCTAACTTGAGTTGAAATCTGACAAACTAAACATATTCCCAATTGGAATCAAAATTTCCTAAATTATGGGATTTTTATAAAAAAGATGAGAAAAATAGGGGATTTCTTTATACATTGTTTCTACCCAAAAATTTCGTTTTAATAAGAGTCTGAAATAGGTTGGAACAGGGTCAAACTTAATTCCCAAGAATTTTTCCCTTGTGAAAGTTTTACAATAAAAATATTCATATCGAGCAGCACATTTCTGCATGATAATCAATATAAAGGACGGCAGACGGTTTGCACGTAAAACGGCCCTAAATAAAAATCATCTCAGAACACCTTCTAAAATTGAATTTCATCTTCCTCTAAGTAAGAATAAAGCATCTGGGCATCTTTCAAACCATCTTTAAAGATCGCTCCTCGACTTTTCTAACGAGGACAATAGTATTATCAATTTCGCGATCCTCCTCACAGGTTAACCGCGTCTGTTTATCAAATCAAACTCATGCTTTAAGGAGAAATAGAGCTATTCGAGACCTACACAATGATCACAAAATGTAAAGGAAAATACCCTGCGCTGGAAAATTTCCAAGGACCACACTGTCCGCATTCAGTAGGAAAACCAATTGCTGGCATAGTATGGTCCATATGATTTCCACTATGGCTCCTGATACCATCGTCATTTTTCTGTGCAGATAGAGCTTTTCAAGAGCTACAAAATGATAATAAAATATGAGGCAGCAATTGGCTTGCTTGAAAATCTCACGGAGCACAGTATGGGAATTTTATCGGGTAATGGATGGTCGATATAGTGTGTTGAATAATATGTTTAGTAGGTATGATTTATACTTCCCTCTCTGGTACTGATAGAAAATATGACGCCCGTATGAGTGATTCGCTGGATACTGTTGAGTGCTTGTGTGGACATACGTGTTAATATTTTATGGGGTGGTAATTAGTAATCTAGTATTAACCTCCTTGTTAGAAATTGGTTAGATGGTATTTGGTAGTTTATTATAGACATCCGTATCATCGGTTCGCTGGATACTAGTGAATGTATTTTTCGGGGATTCGTGTGCTTAGTGTCCTTGACGATTATGATAGGTAGAAGGTTCACATACATCGTGCTATTGCTTGGGCATGAACCCTTTCCTTGCTGTTTGGTGTTTTGGATTCAGAGTCAAACGACTTGTAAGACGTTCTTTTCATCATTATTCGTGACCGGGATTCGATACTTTGATCATTGAAAGTAGATTGATTACGATGATGCCCACTGGACTACCCGATCAGTTTAAATGAAATCTGTTAGAGCATGGGAGTAGTAATAAATAAGTAATACTGTTTTGTAGAATATTTTTGTTGAATATGGCAACTGACCGATCATCGTTTTTCCAGAGAAAGAAAGAAGAAAGGTTTTATTTAGTAAGTTAAAGTCAATGATAAGCGCACAGGAATGTGAGATGTTGAAAACTGAAAAGGCCTTGGTTACGGATAGAAGTTCTCAATGTTGAAGTTTTGTTCAAAGGTAGAATAGTTGTTCGGGCTTTTATTTGACAAGATATGAGTATGCTAAGTGCGAGTAAATCCGGTTAGTTTGACGTAATCAGCATCTGTTAATAACATGCATTCATCGAAATCAAGGTGTTTCTTACAGTTGAGTCACGAACGATACGTTTGAAGGACGTTGATAAGATGTTGTGGAGAGAAAAGCCGATATTCCACTTTGTGTGGCACCAGCGACAGAAACGCTTCAAGCAACAGACGTTTATCGACAGTATGTTTCTTGCAGCATCGAGATCCTGAAGGTATTTCGATGTGACGTCGGATGAACATTTCCTTGCGATCTTCTTCACGAATAGTTACCGTTGGAGGCATCATTTGCTCTTTGCAAACATAACACTGACTACAAAACGAAAATACGTCAGTTGTTTATATTTGACAGAACTACCTTCTGGAAGAGATTGCAAGTTCAACTGGAATTTTCACACCTTGTCGATTTAGGCTGTCATCTGAGCTCGTTGTGTCCATCTTTGAAGTAAAATTACATAAAGGTAAGATGCATAGAAATGAACTTACTACTTCATTATCTTCAACCGCAGTTACTTCTTCATTTTCCACTTCATCACCATTGACTGACAAATCATCAAAAGATTCATCATCACTGAGTAATGAATCTGCCTTATTAACAGTATCAGATCCACTATCAGTTGAATTCGTCTCAACTAATGTGTCTTCCATAGGTTCATCACTGCTATTTTCTGCATCTATACACACTTCTGTTTCTCCATCTTCGTCGTTGACCTTGCCAATTACCACACTTGCTGTTGAATGATTATTGTCGATCATTCTTAATATATTGTAAAATTCTGGCAGAACTATCCACTTACTATACATAATACGACACTTTGTACAAACACAGGCATCCATCTGCAGAGACGTTGGAAACAAACGGGTGGCGACGAAAAGTCGAATGGATTTTCCAATAAGAGGACGTCAGCTGCTTGAAGTTGCGCGACCACCACAACAAGCACAGACATAAGACTTCTTCGAATTCATTTTATGCGAAATGAAATAACGATTCACGTAACCCATCCCTTTTATATTCTCTCCTCGCTGTCTCTAAAAAAATCTAACAAATTTCTCTCTTTAAAAATTTCTTCTTCACATCTCTCTCTCTGTAAAACACCTACACTCCGAATCACTCTCCGCCTAACATGCTCTTTCTGAATCTCTCTCGCAATCTAGTATCCTCTCCAAATCATTCTCCCTCCCCATCTCGTATAACATCTCTAAATCTCTCTCCAACCAACATATTTTTCCTGATTCTCCGTCGTTATATCGCATCCTCTTCCTTCAACCCTCTCTATACTATATCTATTATATGAATCTCTTTCTGTGCTTACTATCCTTCCTCTCCATTCTTAAAATCATGTTTCCATTCTTGCATAAGAATCATCCTCGATAGATCTCTCCAGCCTTACTTCGTTCCACACACATGACGCTACCATGCCCATAACCCCCATCTATCACCTACCGGATAATTCACAAACGATCTACGATAGAAGATCCAGAACCATTTCGCCATACTATTTTGACAATTGGTTTTCTAATAGGATCTTGATAAAGTGGTCCTAGAGATTTTTCGACAAAACCGAATTTTGCTTCATGTTTTATTATCACTTTGTAGCTCATAAAAAAGCTGTATCTGCACCTAAAAAGTGGCCCTTGTACCATGACCCATAGTCGAAATCATATGGATCATACTATACCAACAATTCGTTTTTCCACTTATTCTGGACAGTGTGGTCCTAGGAAATTTTCGAGCGCAGAATATTTTCCTTTACGTTTTGTGATCATTTTGTAGGTCTCCAATAGCTATCTCTTCTGAAAATATGAGTTTGATTTGGTAAAAAGACTCGGTTAACCTGTGAGGGGTTCGCGAAAATGATAATACTATTGTCCTAGTTAGAAATGTCGAGGAGCGATCTTTAAAGATGGTTTGAAAGATGCCCAGATGCTTTATTCTTACTTAGAGGAAGATGAAATTCAATTTTAGAAGGTGTTCTGAGATGATTTTTATTTAGGACCGTGTTACGTGCAAACCGCTCCCTGTCTTTGTTGTGACGAATATGGCAGATAGAGTAAAGAAAGAACAATCTGAGTTCTGTTTTTTTTCTCGATATTTTTTACTTCATATATTTGCTGCTGTTTCTCGTGATTTCTAATGGTTTTCAATACCGTAGCGTCCAACCAATATTATTTGTATTTCTGATGAGAGCTTGTGTATTACATCTAATAATGGAGGTGTTTGTACTGTAAGTTGAAAAACTTAGATATATTAGCGTCAAAAGAAAAACCTTGCTGCCAAACTAATCAGGTTAAGTGTATGAGATGTGGATGTGGGTATGAGTGTGGGTGTTAGTGAACGAAAGATCTATATCTACATCCATACATCCATACATCCACACCCACACCTACAAGTTCGCTCTCTGTAGATCTTGCCTAGTAAACGAGAGAAAGTCTAAACAGTGTCTCTATTTTTGAATAAAGTAGACACTTGATTTTTCTTGAAAACCTATGTAGTCTCGTGGATGTTGCGAAGAAGTAGATTTTTGACGCGACATTTTTTTTTGTAGCAAATACTTTTCATTTACTTATAGTTTTATTGAAAAAATATATTCATGAAGGTCATTTTTCTATTTTCATTGGTTTTTATCTCTACATGGTCAATAGCCAGCCACTTAGTGAATGCGTCTGTTTCGGGTGGAGCAGAGAAATGGATAAGTGAGCCCTATGTCGAAAATACGCCTCCTGATCCTCCTATCTATCCTCCAAGATGGACAGCAACTGTGCATTTTCAATTTATTAATGCATCGAATAATTTGCCTGCTGGCGTATCTTATACCAAATAATTGATTCAACCAACCATAAATTTTGAGCCGATGATCTTTATTTTGCTGAAACATTTCCTATCCCCTACGATACTCTTCTTACCTCATCTGTTCCTCCCAACAAATACCAATGCTACGCCAGCTTGACATCCAATGGAATAACTTGTGTTATATATCCGGGAAATCCGGTCACCCTGTCGCAAAATTGGATTGCCGAGTTATGCTCATACAACTCAACACTTTACTATCAAACAACCAAAGGTAATCGATGGAATTGTGCAACAGATGTTGTAACTTGGCTTATAAATACGGCAGCTGTTGATGGACGTATCATTCATCAGCATACACTTCCTCAACCATTCTTTGATGTCTATCAGCATTTGTGGCTCACAAATTATACGGTTGTTGTAGAAGAATTCCATCCAGCTATTTTTATTTCACCAAAAGGATGGAATTGTCCGAATTGTCCAACTGCTCAATCTGTGAAGGATACATTTTGTATAACACTCCTATTGATTTCCCTACTATTATATGCTCTGAATTGCAACAATAAGAACTAAACCCTACACTACTGTAAATTTCATTAATGAAAACAAGACTCCTATGTTCAGTCTTGCAAAGAAAATTGTCGTTAACCTTATCGAGACGGATTGTTTTTTCTATCAAAATTTGCTTCTTGTTATCAGTTTACTGAATTCCACTAAAAATCTTATACAATCTCAATGGTATTCAAGGAAACAGCTTTTGTTTTATCTGATACGCAGAAAGCCAGTTTACACTTACACTTACGCACACACTCACTCTTTTATTTCAAAATCATAAGTTTATTCATTTGATTTAATAGCAACCGACCTTCGAATCTGAAACAACAATTCGAGCCTGACCCTCATCAGAGTGCATTCGACAAGTTACATTGACGATCGATAAGGTAGAATGAAAGACCAGGAATGGAACGACTTCACTAAGTAGACCTTGAACAGTTATCAGTGCTAGATTAATTCCGATTTCATTGTCTATGCCTAAAATACGTTGAGAGCTTATAGCTGTCCATTTATTCCATTCGCCAAGTAGAGCATATTTCGTTGAGTTCTTGAATTCGATCAAAGGCGATACATACCAAAGACATATTGATAAATTATGACATTGAGTAGCTAAAACATTTAGAGGATGATCATCATCGAAAGTTGATACTGCGGTTGGATTATGATATGACCAGATCACTTCCGGTTGAGCCCCAATCATAGAAGGATAAACTAAATAATCTTGTTTCATCGCGGACGCAAAGATGGTATGGAATAGTTGACCATGTCTAAATATTAAAATTATTCAGATGATCACAAAGAGAAACACTTACATATTTGTTCTTGTAGAATAAAGTTCACCCTGTGATACACCATCATGAAAAGCCCAGTCCGATACTAATCTATTAATCATGGTCAATGGTCTATCTGGTTTCAAAATCAAACCATCTTCACGACAACATTTCATGATATGTTGTGCATTGGTATAATTAATAGCATCTCCAGGACTGACAGGTCTTGTGGACAAAGTCGCAATAAGTATTTCTCGTTCTGAAAGTACTTCTTCAGCATTTGGTTTATAAGGCGATCCGGGTTGTAATGAGGTAGACCAGAACACATCTCTGAATGGTGCTAAACCATTAGCATCAGCAAACATGCTTGATATTCCTATAGTCCATTGTTGTCCTTTACCATCAAGATGAACAGCATAATCCGGTGATGTTCGTGCTTGAGTCACGCGTGGAATTTGTAAAGCGCTGAGAATATGACGTGGTAAACTCATACAATACTGTATATTTAGTCCAATTTTGTCTGCTGCTTCACCCATCGATATTAGCCATTGACGTCCGAGATTAATATCAGTCCGTGTTGGTAAAAAATCAATTGTTTGCCGATCAAGCCAATCTTGTTCATAAAGAATAAGACCCCAATAATGTGCTTGAGTAAATAAATCAATCCAAAATGAATCATTACCAATTGGTAATGCTTTCTTACTAGTTTCGTCAAGAACAAAAGAATAATTTTGTTTATAAACAGTATCATATGCTCAATAGCGATTATGTGCTGCGAGAGGAATATTTTCTAATCGCCAATGTACAGTTTGGAGACCATCAGGAAAAATATCTGGACGAGCTGCCCATTGGGAAACACCATCGCCCATACCTTTATAATATCACTACGAATCAAGTTGCATATAATGCAATGGAAGTGAAATTTGATGACGAACATTAACCATAGTTTCTTCGTAATTGATTCCTTTTTCTGTATTATAATAATAATAACCACCATTATCGGTATAATATCCAAGATAATTGATCGTAACATCATATAGACGATGTTGATTCGTTCGAGTATATGCTCTTTGCATGAGTTGACCCCATTCTCTTATTCCTTCATTGATACCATTTGATGCATAAAAAAACCATCATGGCATGAATATAATTAGCTGATATTGATAGCATTGAGCCGATCACACCAAATTCTAATATGTTGTTATTCGTTTGACTTAATGAGGTAGCCATAAATTGAGAAAATGATGAAAGAACTAATATATCACCTTCTCCTTGTTGAGTTAAATTAAAAAGAACAACATGGCCACCTTGTATTCCTGATCGAATGACTTTACTGGATGAATTCCACCAACCTGCATGTTTACCATCATCGCCTGACATTTCTTCTGAAGAAAAGAGAAAGAGAGCGTTAAAAGCATTTCTAAAATCAATCTTACCTTCGAATGTAAAATAACCTCGTTGATCATTTTGATCCATTTGTTCAATACAAAACGATGGAAAAACTGTACGAACATGATCCATGTCAAGAGGGACGATGTTCGTCATAATTTGATCACCAGTATCTAAATGAAACGAAATTCCTGAAGCACCATACCAATCGCGTATGTGACCAACGATTGTCGTATGTATTCCGTCGCGAACAAGATCATAGCTTAATTGAAAATCTCGATAATCACCGAGATTTGGATCAAAACCACTTGTATAACTAATGCCAGTTAATGGTAGTGTATTATCATCGGATGAATACCATGTGTTATCGACGTATATAGCTGTACAAGATGAACGAAGCCAAACACGACGACCAATAGTAATATTGTATCCTCATTTTTCATCAATTACTACATTTATATTACCCCAACTCCAACATTCAACGATAAGAAGAAGTAACACTAAAACATGCATCTTCACCAATTACTCTGACCGACGTGCAAGATAATAGCACTATGTATACAGATAGTAATAAGAAGCGATCTCTCAGTGTTCTTTTTTTTGAAATCTAAATAGTGAATGTCACATAAACAACATTCATCCTAATATTTGAAAAGTGGGTGGGATAAACAAAATATAACCGGTGATACAATACAAATACACTAGACGACATTCTTGAATCGGGATGAAATGAGGTGATTTCGTGTATTCACCTCAATATCCTATTCAATCATCTCATCCGGTAAAATCATATATGTAGATTTGGATGTTGAAATAGAAATTACGGTACAAGATTTAGTACTTGAGCTTTCATTGTGTTGCAAAATAACAAGTGTCGATAATAAGAAATGTAATTCTTTTCGAATTCTAAATCATACTCTTGCCCTTACAATGCTATGTTTAGCTACCAGTTTTTTGAAGATAAAAGCAAATATCTCTTGTGACTCATATGATATCAGTCAACTTCGACACATATAAGATCAAGTGTGCAAGCAATCTTACCTTGAATGCTTGAGAGAACGTTTTCTGTTAGTATCAACTACAACTTTTTGTGTGCTCCTTCTGGTTACCTTTATTTGTGATAAAGAAGACTCCAGAGTAAGGGCAATTTATTTCATACGATGAAGCCGATGTAATACATTCCCATTTCTTTTGACGAGAAGAATGACAACTAAAAATTATATGAAGAGGTTTCATTCTACACTAGAATTTCTCCAAATCATTGCATGTTATTATAGCAAGATAAAACAAATATTGGGTATGGGTGTGGGTGTATTGAGTATGGGTGGGGTGTAGAGATGGAGGTGAAAAGACTCTTTATTCACACCCACATTCACACCCATACCAAAACCTACGCCAAGACCCCACCCACACCTCATCCACACCCACATACACCCACACCCTCTGTCATTTTGAATTATTTTTATGTCTCATTAAATTCTACATACGATGAGCTTAGTCTGAGCCGTCAGCCATACTTTGCTTTTAAAGAAAGGAACAAATTCGACATCTATGGGTATGCTTAACTAGGTTGGGTTCAATCGTTCAGGAGAGCCATGCAAAATAAGATAATGTGGTGGCTCTTTTATTTTTCAGCATTTTTATGTAGAGTTCAGTTCTGCTTTTAAATAAGACGGTCCAAGTCATCGACCATGCTTTGTTTCGAAAAAACTTTGAATTCCATATGCATGATGCTGAGCTTGGGGTCCAATATTGTGAGAGTGCCTTGCCGATTAAAAAAACTGATTGGTTTTTTCATTGCGAGTTATTTTTATGGACTATTCAATGCTACAGGCTAATGAAGCTGACGAGGGAAGGTCCCCAACTGATCAATCGCTTGTGCGTCGAGACTATGTGCATTATGTAGGTATGGATGAGCTATGAATATCCTAAAAAAAGTTTGGGCTGCTAGCTTGTTCGTAGGAAGATACTGCACTTTTACGGTACGCTTTTAAATGAATGCCGTGGTCCCTCTCAGGAACACCAGAAAAAATGATTTTCGAATTTCCACTTGAAACTTTACGTAGAAGCAGACCTTACTGAGAATAGTATTTTGTGAAAGTTTCACACCTTTTTTGCTGTTGCTATCCGTAGATACAGAATGATAACTCCATTCGGATAAACCAGAAGATTTCATGCTCTCATTTCAGGATAGGAACAAATCAAAAGACCTGAAATCTTCACAAAATACTATTCTCAGTAAAGTCTGTTTCTACGTAAAGTTTCAAGTGGAGATTCGAAAATCATTTTTTCTGGTGTTCCTGAGAGGGACCACGGCATTCATTTAAAAGCATACCGTAAAAGTATCTTCCTACCAACAAGCTAGCAGCCCAAACTTTTTTTTAGGATATTCATAGCTCATCCATACCTACATAATGCGCATAGCCTCGACGCAAAAGCGATTGATCAGTTGGGGACCCTCCCTCGTGAGTCTAGGAGTGAGTGTGTGGTTCGTATGGAGTGATGGAACAGATTTTCTGTTCTTCGAGTTCCACACACAGATCCGCACCAACACTCATAACCACACCCATAACTACAGCCACCAACACGCACAGTCACACCCCGCTGAAAAGCTTCTTCTCTTGTCATACGACTTATCTCTCAGCAGAAAGAGAAAGAACGTCGATTATTCGTTGAAGATTGTATTGTACTTCGTGTTCCTTCGTACACAATTCATTTCAAACGATAACAACAAATGGCGACCCCATTATGTTCATGTTTCGTTCATTAATGCAAAAGTCCGTCATGCATTGTGTGCATTCGTTGTGATCACTACTTTTGTGATAATTGTTCGAGCGAAAACAAGTATCAATTTATTGAAAAGCTGCCTCATTTAGCTGATAACATTGATAAACTTCTCATTCGATTATCGTCTATCGAACCATTATGTCTGGAACAATTTGAGTAATGGCGTGAAGTAGCTTACTAATCTGTCGTTGATTACTGTGAAAAAAGCGTCACAACTTAAAAAGAACAAGATATAACCCAAGATTAGGGTGTGGGTGTGGATGTGGGTGGCGGTATCGGTGTGGGCATGGGTTTGGGTGTGGTGTGGAGTGTGTAAGGGTGTTGGTGTCGGCGTTTTTGTTCCAAAGTAAAAGATCCACACGCACACCGACACTCCCATCCACACTCATACCCACATCCACACCCACACCCACACCCACACCCTAAATAATCCTAATGTTTCTATATACCAAAATTATGAGTACCGTAAAAATCGAATATCTCCTTCTAGAGAAGCCAAGAGCAACTAATATTTTAACCTTGTTAGTTAGGCGATGAGAGCTTTCATTTGACCCTAATATATCCTATCTTTTTGCTTATCAACACAAACACCTCCATTGTAAGACGAATACACAGAGAGAAAAGAGAAAGTAATTTTCTTTTCTTATCCAATCTTGCAGTGTCACAAAATTGCATGCTTTTTCAATTAAACTAAAGCAATAGGTGAAAAAGATAAATGCCCAAGAAACAGAACAGAAGAGGAAGTTAATGGACACCATAGGGATCAAACAGACTAGAAAAAATAAAACTGACTTATGATATGTGATTGGTGTTTCTACGTAGCAACAACAATTCCATTGATTAATTCAGTTTTAATTCACGTAGTGTGTGTTAAGGCCATAGGATAAATTAAAACATGGAAAGAAGAAATATCAATAGAGTGAGCATCGTGAATATTATGACTTGTATATAATTATTGGGAAGAGAATCTTACTCAATTACATGTAATACAATGTAAATCTTTTCAAGGTATCCTAGTTATTAGTCATAACAAATATTTTTTGCATGAAAATATTGTTAATAATAAGTCTATATCAAAAGCAAAATATCCGGAAAAAATGCATTTTTATGTCACTCAACACCAATGAGTCATTTTTGACCCAAATTTTTCTAAAGAATCGTCTTCCAACGCATTGATTCAATAGTTTGTGGAAAGGTTCTGGATAAATAGTTGATGCTTTAAGTAACATATATCAACCGTTCAAAAAACTAAATGATTAATCTGTGCTAATAAAAAAACGAAAAAACGAAAAGAAATCGGATTTTTTCATATTTTTGAAAAATCATGATTCTCCAACTCAAATATTCTATCAATAGACAACAATAAAAAGTTTAATTCTTTAGTGATTTGTAGCATACTGAGTGCTGTACATGATGTTAAAGAACTGTCTTGATTCGATGCTTTATGGCTTCAAACAGATAAGCTTTCTAAATGGATAAAAAGCGACCCACAAAGGATAAAGGATTCAATTTATATGAAAGATAAATATCTTCCTATGATTATTGAAATTTTCAAATAATATGTATAATTTTATTTCTCTTCCTTTAAAAGGATGCAAGATTGTACCTCACTCTCTCCGTTACAGATGAGTAAATTAATTTACGAATTCGTTCTTCTTCGATCAAGTCAATATAGAGAGATCAAGAACAGGATTGAAGGTGAATCACCACCAACATGCATAGAATCATATTCAATTTCAAAATTCAAAAGAAAGGTATGGAAGTTGAAAAACTTCCAACTACAATCTAATGTCAAAATAAAGTACGATTCATAGTGACAGAATATCTTATAAATGGTGAGTTTACAAGATAATTCCCAGTTACCTATGACAATCTGTGTTAGTCTGTTGAGTTGGAACCTGTTGTGTTTGAATAGTAACTCGATTAAATTTGCAGAAGAGATTTTTAAGTTCTTTTCTAAATAGGCCACTTGATAGTGTAAATAAATAGAAACTTAAACAAGGACCCGTCGTTGAAAGCATTCCAACAACCGCATTGATCATATTTTCTTGAGCTGATTGAAAAACATTTTTTTGTTGATTAGCAATTATTGCTGTATAAATTAATGCAACAGAAAATGTTAATCCTGTTATACAATAAACCAATACTTGAACAAATAACATTCGAAGCATATGCCGATTGGTCTTTCGAAGATTTTGATTAGCAGCTGTTTCTAAATTAATTGAAGGTGCCATAGCAAGTCGTTTAGATCGTTCAATATTTCGTAATGTCAGCATACCAAATATAAGCATACAAAATGATGGAGATAAGCCAAAATAAATTAAGTGAAAATAAGATAAAACTATACGATAAGTTCCGGGAGGACCTGGAGGATAGCAAATAGGTTTTTGCGTTGCTGGTATAATATCAATTTTGAAAAAAATAGGCACATGAATATAAGCAATAAAGCCAATAAGAATAGTAACTGGAATAAGTCGACGAGCTACATGTACACTACTCAATGCTCTTTTATTTGTTGATGCAGAACTGCATAGATACCGATCACCACATGCTAAAACAATTAACCAAAAACCCAATCCTCTATGTAAAGGAAAGAAAAGATATGATATTCAAAGTACTCTGATGAACTATATATACCTCAATGAATTTAATGCAAGCCATGTTATTTTGCAAAATATGACTGAATGTGCTCCTGGATCTGTGTCAATAAAAGCAGATTGAATCATTCTCATAGGTAAAATATAACATGTATGCATTAATCCAACAATACTAGCTGCCAAAAAATACATACTACAAGAATTTGATCGTAATGTAGGACGAGTAAATACATAAATACTCATTAAATGTCCCACAGTACCAAGAGGTATAACTACAAAACAAAAACATCGAATAAACATCATCGCAATGTAATTTAAATTGTTTGCTTCTAATACAATATTTGGAATAGTCGACGACGACATTTTTTTTTTATGTATGATGATAAATAATAATGAAAACGATTTTTTATATAGTGTATACCTGTCAAAATGAAATATTTCATGCTTTTCTTAATATTAAAAAGATTCAAAATGAATATGTATGTTAAATAAAAAATAATATTTGACATGCGAACCGAATTGTAATTTTTTATCTATGATATATCAAAAAAATTATCTCATTCATTTTATACTTCGATAATCAAATGCACGGATGAAAAAAAATCACCAATGTAACTTAAAATTATGTCTTTTCAGTAAAACTAATATGTCCTTCCTTTGAGAGCAAACAGTAAAAAATAAAATAAAATTTGTTTTTAAGCACAAAAAAACAAGATATACATAGTGCTATTTTAATTGGATTCTTTCATGCTTTTGTTTTACATAAGCACACTGTTCTCATTAACAATTTGAAAAGTGCAATATTTTACTCAATTTTTTCTATGATAATTAATGATAAAATTCATTATTGAAGATACAATATATTGACAAATATAACAGTTTAGTTAGTAGAAAAATATGTATTTCATCATGATTGTCCAAATGGTCGGGAAGCTCACAAAGATCTTTAAAGTACTTAGGCCATCAAATATATGAAAATATCATTTGATGTCATCTTTTAGCATTAAATATATCTTTACTGTCTTGTTCAATAATCGTATACATAATTAATTTCATATTTATTACTTATAAGTTATTAAAAATAAAACTCTTGAAAAACTTTTTCTCAATATTTGTATGTAATTCAAGACTAAAATCCCAAACTCGTCGTATTGAGTTTTAGGTCATACTCGAAAACATCGTCACAAGTTTAAATATTGTCGAAATATTTAATAATATTGTTTAGAAGATACATATATGTTTGAGAGTGTGGGTGTGGGCGTGGATATTTCAGATGGAAACCACACACCCACACCCACACACACGACATCGACACCCACATCCAGAATGCCTGTATTGAATAGCTGAATAGTGCACGAAAATATCGAACTGAGTTTATTCAACTAGTCAAACAAAGTATTCCGTTAAATGATTGAATTAATGAACAGTTGAGTATAAGAATTTTAATCTAAAAATAATTCATAGTATTGTGAGGTGAATAGGTTACGCTACGAAGGAAAAAGATAAGGAACTACTTATGTATTTTGATTTAGCTGAGAGCATCTTGAGTGTGAACAGTTTTCCACAAACATAAGACTCCTACGCAGGCACATGCCCACAGTCATACTTCACTCTGTTGATGAATAGAACATTCACTTTCACCCTCAACTTTTATAAACTCTGCTTCCGTAACGTATTTTAATCAAATGCGCTGGCCTATTGTTGACACGGGGTGGTACTTTCGAATACAAGACTAGAAT